TGGAAAAACGTCCGGCACATGGCTTCAGAGCTTTAGGGTTTTTTGGTTTAGGGTTTAGGGTTAGGGTGTGTTTCGTGTTTCCATGGTATAGTTTAGGATGTTAAGTTTGGGAGCTCTTGGGGGCTGGAGGCTGCAAGCACTGTAGGGTTTTAAGGTTTAGGGGTTTAGGGCAGGGCTCCTTTGGGGGATTCCTCACACGATCTGCCTGGGCGGGTTCCACCAGGGGTTCTACACGTTTAGCTAGAGGTGCTGTGTCTTTTGTTCCGGGGTTTAGGTGTATAAAGGCCCTAAACCCCAAACCCCAAACCCTAAAGCCCCAAACCCGGGAACTCTAAACCCTAAACCCTCTATACCCTAAGCCACAAGCCCTGATTTCAGACTCGGGCTTCGGGGCCTTTTAGGAGAGTACCTATAGGCTCAGCTCATTCCCTGCCCCTTTCTTTAGGGGTACCTGCCCAGAGATCCCAATACCCCCGTAAATTAAGGAATATACCGTACCTTGAACCATAATATTAAGGCCCCTATGATTCAAGGTAAATTCTATTGCGATCTTTGGTTGCTTCTTAGATAGGGTCAGATGTATAGAAAAGTAGGTAACCTAAGCAACGGGTAGTGCATGAGCCTCTAGGTAGGGCGCGGTTGCTGCTGGGCCCGTCTATGGTTGCCCGAACTTTGGGGTTTGCGTTCGGTAGTAAGGCTGTGACCAAGTCAGGGAGTCAGGACGTGAGGCTTCAGGTTTAGATTTGTGAAGGACTTGCAGGTTCAAGCTTGTAAACGAATATGTTCTGTGTATGTGTTCGGGCGAACACCGCTTGATCAAGCTGTCGTCGTTAAAGCTTGCTGCGGATACATCTTTGTGCTTAATGGTTTAGTAAAAAGCACATTCGGAGGCACTAAAACGCCATCTAGCACCCTGCAGACTTTTAAGAGGCACATACACTCTTAAAACCACTTTGCCTGGTATAGGGCTATTTGCAGCTCACCGAGGCCTACCCCCCCCGCCACCCCCAAGCCCATAGAGTCTAGTACACATGAAGCAGGGTCTAGGGCCTAGGGCTTAGGTTTAGGGCTTAGGGCATAGATGGGGTCACATTGGATCCTGCGTCTAAACCCACAAGCCCCGTGAAGCCCTGCAGCGACCCTCTGCAACATCCTATAGACAGTCGAAAACAGCAAGCAACGCTAATAAAAGTAGAACCACTCTTCCTGCAACCCTACAACAACCTTATTGAAGAAAGCTTTTCAACAAGATTCTGTAAGCGCTCTAGAGCTTGAGCCCTGGACCAGCAAGACATACAACCCTAAACCCTAAACAATAAACTCGGTTTAGGGTTTAGGGTTTAGGGCTTCAATAAACCCTAAACCCTAAACCCTATACCCTAAACCGCACGGACAACATGCTCCCCCCATGCACTGGCAGGGTTCACACCCGGGGGCCAGGGGATCCACGAGCACGGCCGAAACCCTTTCCCCATCTACTATAGGGGCCTGAAGAACTATACCTATACTATTTTGGAGGGTTCCTTATTATATTTATAGTAATACTGTACCCCAACCCCCTACTTTTATTTTTTAAGGCCCCTACATCCTAAACCCTTGTAGTGGCCCTTATAGAGCCGTTTAAAGGAACCCTTTAAAGGAAACCCCCCAAAACCCTACTCTAATCTTGATGGGCGCCCTACCTCTACTGCCCTAGTCAGAGACGTGACCACAAGGTTTCCTCCCCCATGGTTCTGGCGGGATGTCCGGATCCCTAAAGGGTTTAGGGCTTAGGGAAGCCCGGAAGAATCCCCGAAAAATCCACACAAAGCCGTCGAACGCCCTAAACGCTTTCACTGGCCTGGAAAGCCGTAAACGCCCCGCAAGCCCTAAGCTGCCCCAAAAAGCCCTTAAGCCGCCTTCAAAAAGCCATAAAGAGCCCTTAAAAAGCCCTAAACCCTGAGTACAAAACCCCAAAAGCCTTTAAGCCGCCTCAAAAAGCACCAAAGAGTCCTTAAGAAGCCCAAGCACAAAACCCGCTGCGAGCAGCCCCTCCGAGGTCTCCGAGGACGCCAAGGGGCTCATCAGGAGCCTCTTGAAGATGAGTCCCAAAGAGAGGCCGTAGGGGGGGCGGGGTTACAGGGTGTAGGGTTTAGGGTTTGGGGTTTCGGGTTTAGGGGCTCAGGGGTTTAGGGTTTATAATGGGTTTAGGGTTTAGGGTTTACAGGGGGTTTAGGGTTTAGAAGAAGAGTCCCAAAGAGAGGCAGGGACAGTTTAGGGTTTATACTCAGACCCCCAAAAGGATCTAAAAGATAGATCCCCTAAGGGGGTTCCTATAAAGTACCCTTTAGTAGTTAGGCTCCCAAGTCCCAAAGAGAGGCCGGGACAGTTTAGGGTTTATAGGGGGTTTAGGGGTTTAAGGTTTATAGGGGCTTTAGGGTTTAGGGTTTAGGGTTTAGGGTTAAGGTTTGGGGGGATTAAAGGAGTCCCAAAGAGAGGCTGCGACAGTTTAGGGGTTTATAGGGGGTTTAGGGATTTAGGGTTTAGGGGTCAGGTTTAGGGACCCATTGTAGGATTCAGAGGAGTCCCAAAGAGAGGCC